AAAGAGAGAAAAACCCTAAAATTCGGGTAATTAAGCAGCAGGATGAGGGCTGGCATCCCCTTCTGCTCTAGCACTGTGGTCATTGCTCCTTCTTCCAAACCCTGGGGGATTTGATGGTTTTGGTTCAAGACTTGTTTATTTGGATGGGCCATGAGTAGAGGTTGGTGGTGTATTTGGGTTTGGGTCTTGTCTGAGCCTATCCCTGGATCCCATCAGCTGCAGGATCGCTGCACAGCCAGGAGATAAAAGGGGCAATAGAGGTATTAGGGACCAATAAAATGGTAATGGGATTCCCAGCTGGTCGTTGCTTTTCATGGGCTCCTCTTTTGTGGAGTTTTAGCTTTCTTCAGCTTTACAGACTTGGGGAAAAAAAAAAGACGAAAAAAATCCCGGGAGGGGGAGCTGAGGGAGCCTCCTGAGATTTACAACCCCTGAGCTCCTGGGGCAAATCCTTTGTGCTGGGTTAGGGAGGGATGCCCCTCGTCTCCTTTCAGCTGGGCAGGAAGGCAGAAACATTTGATTATTGTTTTTCCATTTTCTGGCTGACAAGTGAGTGCTGGAGGAGAGTTGTTTTCTTTCTTTCTCTTTTATTTTTTTTTCCCCTTTGCTGTGAACTCTGTGGGCTGCTGCGAGACAATTTTGTTGTGGGCAGCGCGGCTCCTACGTGCCCGTCCCGGAGTCGCAGTGAGGCAATGGCAGTGGTGAGGCAAGAGAGGAAGGAGAAGTGCAGGAGGGGATGAACTTCCAGCCAAAATCCAGCCCGAGGCACAGAGATGGCAGGAGAGGGGGTGATCTTCCAGCCAGAATCCACCCTGAGACATGCAGGTGGCACAGGTTGGGATGGGAAGGGATGGAGGAGCTGGGGTGGGATGGTGAGTGGTGGAAGGGAAGAATTGGATCAGAGAGGCAGGAGCAGAGCCTGGAGCATCCCGTGGAGCTGGGGGAGCTGTTTGGCTGCTCCTGGGGATGGGAAGGATGGGTGAGAGTGGTTTGCCAGTGCTGCAGCTTCCCTGCCCTGCTCCCAAAGAACTGTGTGCAGGTGGGGGCTCTTGGAAAAGGGAGATCAAAGAATGAGAAATGCCCTTACCAGACTAAACTGGGCTTCCCTTCTGCCCCCACCCCTTCTTTTTCTGCCCCGTTTGTGTGAGATGAGGGATTTTATCAGGCCTGGGGAGCCGTGGTCTCTTGACAGCACCGGCTATGCTGGGGATGCTCGAGCACATTGTAATGAGGAAATCCATGACCCCACACTGCATCCCATCAGTGCTGGGGCTGCTTCTGGAGACCCCACAGCAGCCCTGGGGGGGGGATTTTGAGGTGGGGAGCAGGAAATAGGGGTACCAAGGAGGTTACCCAAGTACCCTGTGAGGGACCAGGCTCTTGAGCGAGTTGAACGCCGCTGTCTCGGAGCTCTGCACCTGCGTGACCAACCCTCCCTGCTGACCTGCACTTGTTCAAGTGTGACTTTCAATTGATCATAAAAATCCGGCGTGATTCACAGCGTTCCTGCCCTGCAGCCTGCAGTCTCTCTGCGTTCACGTAGCGTGAGAGAGCAGATTGCCCTCCAGTTCATCCTGCTCAGCCTTAACGGGGAGCCGCTGCTTACTGGGGCTGCTCCCCCCAACACACACTCCTGGAATATATTAAAATACACAGTGCCTTAGCGTTTCAATTTAATTTTTTTTCCCCCCACCCTTAAATTTATGAAGAAAAGTCCTCTCCAGGCGAGCTCCCAAACCTGGGGGTGTGGGGAGAAGGGAGGGATGTGCAGCTCCATCCCGGCGCAGCCCCCGCGTGCGTGCGTGTGGCTCACAGACAGTGAAATTGCACCCTAGAGTTATAAAGCAATTGTCTAGCTCAGCAGCAGAATGAGCATGAAATGGTGCAGAAAGCAACTAAATAAAATTGGGTAAGGCAGATGCATGAAAATAATGACATCTCTATCCTGTAGTCAGGCGCTCTCGCTCTTCCTCGCTGATAAACTTTTATAACAGACTTTGCATTTATTTTCCTGGGAAACTCTGCTGCTGTCGAGATGTGTGTTGGTGTGGGGTGAGCAGCCCCTGCACCCCCTCTCCTGTTTTTTGGGGCTGTACATCCCTGCCCCTCTCTTCCCTTGCCGTTTTCGCCATCTCCCTCTTCCTTGTTTTTGTTTTCAGAGCGGGATTTTTATGCTCAGCCGAACACCAAAGCGATAACCTTTGCGACTTCATTTCCTTTTTGGTGGCCGTGCCAGGCTGAGGGAGCCCTGTGAGCTGGTGGCTCTCAGGGTGGCCTCCCATGTCCCATGGGAATGGGCTGAAGAGATGCTTTCCTGGTCTGCTCTCACTTTGGGGTTTTCTCCTTTTCCCTGGGGTTAAACAGGCTGTTGTGTGGGGTTGAGGACACCACAGCAGGGATGGAGCACCAGGCTGGTGCACTGGCTCTGTCATCCCATCTCCCTGGTGATGGCTGGTGACACCAGGGCCACCTGCTCCCACACTATTTATTTATCCAACTGGATGGATTAAAATGCTCCCAGTTTGGAGCCTGGAGAACTGGCCAGAGCTGTGATTCCTCCCCAGCCTTTCCCCTGGGCTCTGTGCTGCTGTCCCTGCTGTGGCAGTGCCTTGGAGTTGTTGGCCTCAGCTTCCCCATCCACTCCCAGGAAGCTGATGCTTCCAGCACAGTCCAATGTTTTGCTCATTTTGTGCCAGGATCCCCGTGGAGACTGGGAACAAGCAGCTCCTCTTCCCACCCAAGAGGCCCTTTAGGTGACATTAGGGTTGTGTCCCCGCTGTCCTCGTGTCCTCCTGCCTCTGATGGCATGGCTGGGCACTGCTCCATGTGTGTGTGGTGCCGGGGATGCCCTGTGTGGACGGGATGCTTTGGAGGGCTCAGGACTGAGCTGCTCCTGGATTCTTTTCCTTGTCTGCAAGGAAGGATCAGCCTTGGGCTGTGCTGGAGCCTGGGGCTCACCACCCAGCATCTCTGCAGCAGAATCTCCGTGTCTGACTGTGCTTTGCTGGGATGTGTCCCCGGGGTCCCAGATTAGCTGCTCCAGTGCCTGCCCATCACACGCAGCCCAGCCTGGATCCCACGGCTGTGCCCAGCCCCGGAGCACAACAACACAGGACACGGCATTTCCCCCTCCTCCTGCAAGAGCCCAGCTCCTCTGGAGTGAGGCAGAGCAGGAGGTTTCCCTGCAGGGATTATTCTGGCTCTGGGCAGCCGGATGCCAAAGCCCTGCCAGCTTTTTTTGCTGGTGTGGTTCCGCAGCACCGGAGCGGCGAGGAGGAGGAGGAGGAGGGAAATGCACGCGTGCAAAAATCAGTGTGAAAGCATAAATCAGGCCAAGAGTGAAAGGTTAAAGAAATCCAGAGGAAGCAGAGTGATGTGCGTGATAGAAAGGGGTTTCCTGTACCTACAGAGGCCACCCAGGCTCCCTTCCTGCCGGGGCAAACCAAAACTTTCTGCGCCCCTAAGCAAATTGTGGTTGGCTGCTTGGGCAGGCTGCGAGGCAGCCGTGCCAGCCTGGGTGTTAATGCTTTGTGCTTTACAGGCTGCTCTCCCCAGCCCCTGCTGTGGGATTTATTTATAAATGCCCAGGCAGATCCAGTGCTCGAAGGGCAGGATGCAGTGACCTGTGCTGCCCTAAATCCACGTCCTCTCCATTGCCATCCTTGCTGTTTTTTTTTACACTGTGCTTCTCGTCTGAGCCCGGATATCAGAGGGGCTCCAGGAAGAGTTAAGGCTCCTGGGACAATTACCTGCAGGCCCCTATTTAAGCACTTAGGAAGGCTTAGCTGATCCCAGCTGGAGATAGGCTGGCCCCAGGCCAGCGGGTACCTGTTGTGTGCAAATGTGGGAGACTTTAAAGAGCGCTTCAGAGCCGGGGCTCGCTGGGAGCAGGACCCCCAGAGGGCAATTTGGGGTGGTGGATGCTGGCACCCCGAATTAACACCCTGCCAGCAGATTCCTCTGCTGCTTCCAGGGTTGGGAGACACGGATTTTGTTGGCTGGGGGGGTTTTGGCAGTGTTTGGAGCTGTGTTTTGGTAGCGGTGCTGCTGTGCTTTACCTTGGAGTATCACCCTCCTCTCCAAGGGGCAAAACCAACAATTCCCTTCTGGCAGGTTGCTCCCTTTGTGCCTCACCTGTGGGGCAGGTTTTTGTCTGTGGAAATCAGAGGCCGTCGGGCTTTGTTGGGCTCAGGCTCTGGCTTTTCCCACCACGTTTTTCTGGGATGGCTGAGGGATGCTGGGTGCCTCTCCCTGCTCCGGTTATCCCAGTGTTGAGCCATGGGAGCTGAGGCTGGGCAGGCAAGGAAAACCACGTCTGGCGAGGTTTCACAGCCTCTAGGTGTGTGCAGGAAATGTTGCAGGGCAGGGATTTCTTGCAGCAGGTCACGAACAGCAAGGTGCCCATCTGGAGCCCTCACCCACGCACACGAGGGGAGCTCCTCCTCTCCCAGCACCTTCCCAAAACCCTGGGGACACGCAGCCAACCCTTCAGGTCTCTTTCTTGGAGCAGTTGCATCTGCCCTTGGATGCTGGGAGGTGCAGCACCACGCCCTGGGGACACAGCTTGGTGGAGCACCCCAGGAATGGTGTTGGGGGAGCCCCAAAACTCTTCTCAGGGCTTTGCCAAGCAGGCAAACCTTAGGATCCAGCCTGGGAAGCATTGCCAGGGAAGGTGAAGCTCATCCCTGAGAGCAGAGAGATGCTCCAGTCCTGCCCAAACCCAAAATCTGGAGACCCCAGACCAGCCTTTTGTAGGGAGGGCAGCTTTGGGATGGAGGAGTGCTGGGTAGGAAGGGGTGAGCCTGGAGCTGGGTGTAGGGATGTGCCTGCAGGGTGGGAGCAGCCGGTCCTGCCAGTTCTCCCAGCTCTGGGAAGTCCCTCGAGCTGCAGTCGAGGCTGGGATGAGGTCCCACGTCCCTCTCTGCCACCACTTCCAAGGGCTCTTCCTTGGCTGCTAAATTTTAAGTCTTTGAGAGCACAGGCTCTGGGAAAACACCCAGAGAGCCTGGGAGTAAAAAGCCAGCTTTGCGTGGGAAGGGAAGGCAGAGCCAGTACACTCCTAATTCAAAGCACCTTTACAAATGAATAAGGTAGAAATGACTCTACAAAAAAAAAAAAAAAAAAAAAAGAAAGTGAACCCCGATGCGATGAGCTGCCCTGTAATTGTCAGTGTGGAAATCACGGGCACATGAGGACTTGCA